AACATTATTTAATATTTTGAAAAAAAAAAAACTACAATTTTATTTTCTTTTTTTCCCCACATTTATTATTATTATTCAAAAAAAGCTAAAATTAAAAGAAAAATAAAAACAGAAAAAAAAAATCATTAATGTTGCTATTTCGTCTTCTTTTTCTTCTCCCGTTTTTTTTTTTTTTTTTTTTTTTTGTTAATTATCAAGTGAGCGAAATATGATTAAATTGAACCAAAAAAAAACCCATGATAATGAAATTATTGAATGTAAATAAATAGTTAATTGAATTCATTAATAGAAAATTAAATAAGTTAAACAAGAAATTGGTGTAAGTTCATCATTTTTTTATTTTAAATATAGGCGTATTTAAATGCAATTGAATTGATGAGGTTTTTTTTTTTTTGATTACCACATTGATAGAGTTAATGTGAAAAAAATTGGAAACGAAATAATGAAATAATGATTTCTCTGATATCATTGGATGACATTAAAAGACCAAAAAAAAAACAAAGAAAAAAAGATATGACTGATGACTATATAAAATTAAGCATTTGTGCGAAAAGTTGTTTAGTAGTTTAGGTAATAGTAGGAGTTTTAGCTGAAGTCTTGTTTAAAAAAAGTAATTAATAATATATTTATCATTTAATTCTTGCTCAGTTTGTGTGCTTCTTTTTTGAAGAAGAGAAGATTTCCTGTTTTCAATTTTTTTCCAAATTTTTTTTGTTTTTTGTTTGTTTTTGTGCATCTCTATTTCTTAATTATATTAGTTATGTTGTAAGCAGTAGTATTTATATTACAATATATTGTAAATTATCTATAATTGCTTATTTGTTCAACATTTTTGATGCTGTATTATATGTAGTAGGTACTTCAGTTATGCAAAATTTAATTATTTATTAAATAGAAGTAAACAATGTGGAATTTCCCATAAATTCATTGATTTCATAATTTTTGCTATGCACAATTTCTCATATGAATAATAAATGATAATAATAGACAAATAAGCAAGTAAGTAGGTAATGAAGAAAACAGGTAAACTATTTCTATCACTGAGAAAATTCACATTTATATTGCAATAAGCCAAATTGATTCCTAATAAATTTTAAAAGACGTATATAAAAAATTTCAGTAATTAATAGATATGATTTTTTAATTTTGCCTCATTTTTATTATAAGTTTTAATCAAATTTTTCTTTGCTAATCTATTTTCCTCTTATTTGATTCCTTCGTTTTTTCATTTTGTGCAATATTTATAAATTAATAATTCAAATATAAGAATTTGGAAGAAAAACTGTCCGATAATTTAAATGTCAATTTTTTAATTTTTTGGCATTTTTCGAAGTTTTTTTAAAAAAAACTTTCGTTTTCGATTACAAAATGAAAAATATAAGTTCAAATTGAAATGAATCGTGCAAAGTTATCATTGATAAAAATATCTCATCTAATGCTTATTTATTTATGCTTATTTATTTGTGTACATTTAAATGTTAATGAATAATAAATGATTTTTTTTTGTCAAACAAAGATCAACGGAAGCTTTAAGAACGATAGAATATAACTTAGTTTAAAAGCTTTTTCTTCAGAAAAAAAAAATAATAATAATAAAATTGGAATATAAAGTGGAAGGAAGAAATAGAGAAGTCAAAAATGCTCGTTTTATTGCATCTTTTAATTGTTTAAAATATTTTCAAAGTTTAAAAAAAATTTTTTTAATTACAAAATTACAATCACTTTTTTTTTTGTTTTTTGGAAATGAAAATATTTCGTTTCTTCGTTTTTTGTTTCTTTTTTTACAGTAACAATTATAAAAAAAGAAAAATATTACTTTAATCGAATTATTTCAATGAAATTATTTCGTTCAGCTAACCTAATGATTCATTTCTATTATTTTTGTATTATAAATAAGTTTTAGTAAATATTAACGTATTTTACGTTGATTGCGTTGAAATTTTAAATAACTATACGAATAACTGCTGCATAGAATACAAAATAAAATTTCAAAATGCTGCATTTGGATTATCAAAACTGCTTCATGCCTTTTCCCTTGAGCTTTTAATTGCTATCTTTGATGACAGTCCATAGTTTTTAGAAATGTGACTTAACCAGAATGTGATTGAAAATTTTTTCAAATGAGAATTTTCATCTCTGATATTTAATTCAAAAAAATTTCCAACATTTATCTGTTTCATTTGCTACATTTCATATAAAAAAAAGATAATATTTAAACTTTTTTTTTTGTTTTAGAAAGGATTACAATTTTATGATGCTGAAAAGAAAAATAAATGATGAAATGTTGAAATTATAGCTACTTTTCTCTAATCAATAATTAATTTTGATTTTATTACATACAAAGTTGAATTCATTCCATAAAAAATTAAGCAAAAACGAACAATGAATTTAGTATTTCGCATTAAATTTAAATATTATTTAAGAATGTTTTTTCCACTTGTATGCAATTACAATTTCAGATCACAACATTTTTAGATCAAAAAAAAAAAAAATAATAAAACTGAAATATTTTAATTTTGTTAAAACAAAAAGTAATATTACTCTTTCAAATTTTATTCATTTATTAAGTTAGATCAGAAATTTTATTAAAAAAAATTTTTTTAAACAATTTTATTATTTTATTAAAAGAATTTTATTTTATTTTAATTATATGAAAAAAAAATGCAATAATACACCTTTAAATTTCATTCATACCTAAGTGTAGGTGTTAATAAGCATTAAAAATTATGGCTATTCATCAGTTCTGTTTTTTCCTCTACATTTTATATTACTTTTCATGGAAGTAATGTTACCAATAACAAAGTAAACAATTTAAAATTTAGCATTTTCATTAATCTTCTATCATATTTATAGGATATATTTCAATTTCATTTTGGTCTAGAAATGTTTTAGGTAAAGAAAGATTTGTTTCATTTCAATATGCCTGAAATTTTGCTTCATTTTACCTTTTTAAAAAAAGAATTTAAAAAGCAAAAAAAAAAAATTTTTTTCTTATTCATTCGCGTACAATTGGCTGATCAAAAATTAGCTCGTTTATATCAATTTCTAATTGATTTAGCACTTTTAAACTTGCTTTTTTTCTTCTTTCAAACTTATTCAATATTTGAAATTTTCACCCTGAAAATATTTTGCTGCATCGATCAATAAACGGAAAGAGAAAAAATCAATGTTATCATTTCAATTATTATATTTGATTAATTATTTGGTGATGGTTATTTAGTAAGTAAATAAGCGTATGAATTTATGAAATATTACAAAGTAAAACAAAGGAAAAGAAATAGATTATGTTTCATATTTTGGAGTGAAATTATGAAAACTAAACGTTAATAAATTAATTTTTCTATTCTTAAATTATAATTAAAATATTCCATAATACAATGTTATAATTGCTAATCTATACGACAATGTCGTAAACATCAGTTACAATATGTAGGCTATTTAACCACATTTATTCATTTTTCATTTCTTTTTTTTCATCCAACAAATATTTTCAAAAGAATTTCAAGTACAACTAATTTCATTTTGTTAATGAAATACGGGACTATATTAAATGTTTTAGAATTTTTTACTCGTCAATTTTTTCTTTCTTCATTGAAAAAACAACAAAAAAAAAAAAATAATAAAACTAAAAACTTTTCTTTTGTTTAATGTCTTACATTCGTGGAATAATTAAAAATTTTTGAGAAACAAAATTTCATAAATTAAAAAAAATTGCAAATTTTAATGTGCTAGGCTTTTGATAAAATTTTTCAAATCTCTATATTTTTCCAATATGTTTTTTCATTTTAAGCATTTCATATCATTTCTTATAAATAAACAATATTGTTGAACAGAAAAGACAATTATTGATTGTCAAAACATAAAATTAAAATTTTTTTCAGAATTAATACATAATGCTTTAAAAATATTATTATATATAAAAAATTTGATGTAAAATGAAAATAGAATTTCGAAAAGAACAAGAATTGCTTGGCTAATTTAAATTTCAATGAGGTAATAAACGAAATTTTGAAGAAAATTTTACAAAATGCTTTTGCTTTGTGATACATTTAACATGCATATCAAAGTTTCGTTTTGTTTATTTTTGTCATAATTTGTCATTATCAGTTTTAAATTTACTTTTTTAAAAACATATTTACTTTATCGCCACTTTTAAACATTTAATTATTTCATTTTAACTCCTAAAAAAATTTAATTAGATTTGTTTTTAATTCACTTATCTGATAGCAAACTATTTATTTTATCAACGATATGTTAGAATATCTTCACCACTAGAGTCATTATTATCAAAAATTAAATTGGTCATTAAATGAAGAATTATCAATTATTAAAAAATAGCACATGTTTTTATTTTCACTGATCGATTTATTGATGAAATGCTTTTTTTGTTTTATGATTTTTTGTGTATTTTTTGCTTATTTAAGATAATATTAAGTGTGATAATTATTTCAGGTGTAAAAAGGAGTCACTATCTGTTGGCTTATCAAAATGTTATCGTTGATTCTTTTGGTCTTGGTAAATTATCTCATTCCATTTCTTTTTTTTTTAATGTAAAGAATAATTCATATGCAATAATCGCAAAAATCTTTATTGTTAATAGAAAATTATCTTCTTGGTATTAATCATGATAAAATATTGTAAATTATGAAATATCTGATTACTATGAATTAAAAGATTATTTATAATATTTGAATGATTGGTAATGTACAAGGAACTATCGATTGATCGATTGATAGGTTCGTTGATTAATTAACAGAATATCTGTCAAAATATGCATTGCAAAAAGAAATTTGTTTTTTTTTGCAGGCATTGGGTGAATTTAATGATGCAAAATCTAAATTTGATGAAATAAAAAAAATGCGAGATGCCATAAAGGCTCAAGATTTCGAGCAAAACAGTCATTAAATTCAATAGATGGAAGTGAATTTGATGGCTTGGATGGTATAAGAATTAGGATAGAAAAGCGATCTCTCGATGCATTACAAGGTGAGGGATTCGGGATGGAGAAGAGAGCTCTCGATGCACTGGAGGGTGAGGGATTCGGGATGAAGAAGAGAGCTCTCGATGCACTGGAGGGTGAGGGATTCGGGATGAAGAAGAGAGCTCTCGATGCACTGGAGGGTGAAGGATTCGGGATGAAGAAGAGAGCTCTCGATGCACTGGAGGGTGAAGGGTTCGGGATGAAGAAGAGAGCTCTCGATGCACTGGAGGGTGAAGGGTTCGGGATGAAGAAGAGAGCTCTCGATGCATTAGAAGGTGAGGGATTCGGGATGAAGAAGAGAGCTCTCGATGCATTGGAAGGAGAAGGATTCGGGATGAAGAAGAGAGCTCTCGATGCATTAGAAGGTGAGGGATTCGGAATGAAGAAAAGAGCTCTCGATGCATTGGAAGGAGAAGGATTCGGGATGAAGAAGAGAGCTCTCGATGCATTGGAAGGAGAAGGATTCGGGATGAAGAAGAGAGCTCTCGATGCATTGGAAGGAGAAGGATTCGGGATGAAGAAGAGAGCTCTCGATGCATTGGAAGGAGAAGGATTCGGGATGAAGAAGAGAGCTCTCGATGCATTGGAAGGAGAAGGATTCGGGATGAAGAAGAGAGCTCTCGATGCATTAGAAGGTGAGGGATTCGGGATGAAGAAGAGAGCTCTTGATGCATTGGAAGGTGAAGGATTCGGTATAGACAAGAGAGTTCTCGATGCATTAGAAGGTGCGGGACTCAGGATGAATCATCCTCTTAAATCTTCTGGTATATTTTTAATTTCAATATTTTTTCTTGATTCTTAAAATAAACAAACTTTTTTAAATTTCTAATTTAAAAAAAATCAGCATCAATTTCTATTATAATTGTGATTGATTTATGACTAATTTAAATTAAAATGGATAAAATTTTAAATATAATTTAAAAAGATGAATTAGTTTTGCAGATTCTAGGACTAAAGGTTTTCATATGAATCGTTTTTCTACAAATGGAAGGCATTCTCATCCTCATCTAAGTAGGATATCCATTTTAGATTTGTTTTTCTGCTCATTTCTTTTTTTTTTTTAACCCTAATTAAAATACGAAAAATTTTGTTCTTTTCCTTAATTTTAATTAGAGTGTAAATATAATAAATATTTCCATGATATTATGTATAAATTAATTAAAACATTCCATATAACTTAAAAATGATAAAAATTTATTCAAAATTTTTTATTCATTGACAAATTCACTTATGATCAATTATAATCAGCTAATTGATAGATAAATTTTAGTAATCATTTATCTAAAGTTATAAGTCAAGTTAAGTTTATTACAAGCTAAGTTATTTTATTATACGATTGGAAACAGCGTTAGAGATTACTTATTAAATTATAAGTTAATTTTATATGATTATAATGCAAGACAATTAATTTTGCTGTAAATTGATTTGTATGATTGCAAACAAAATCAATTGATGTTAATTTGATTTGTTATAAGTTTAAATTGACTGGCTTATAAATCAAGTAGAATTGTAAGACTGTGAGCTAATTAGCCTAATTAATAAGCTACACAAGAACAATCATTAAAATTCCAATAGTCGTTATAATTTTCTAGAATTTATTTATCTTCTCGCTACAATAATTTCATTAATAAGATATTTCAATAATTTTATTCATATTCAAAATTTCAGCATGCTGAAAATTTTTTCAGTTTTTTAAAAAATCATTTAATTTAAAATAAACTTAGTTATTCAAAAAATTAAATAATTAGACATGAAATAAGGGAAAAATTAATGAATTAATCAGTTTGCATTATAATAATTAGTTCGATTTAAAACTTTTTCTTATTTAAAAGAAATGAAGCAAAGAAACTAAATGAATAGTATTAATTAACTACAAATATTTCAGCAAAATTCTAAAATGAAGGATAAACAAAGAGAGAAAAAGTGGTAGAAAAAAAGAGAAAGAGAAATGCTATGGAGCTCATATATCCTTTTTTGTATCATTTAAATCAATATGATAAATATTTTATTTTATACCACGTTTTACGTTACCAAGAACAAAAAACAGGTATAATTAATTGCACGTATGAAATGATGACAGAATTATTTTTGCAAAAAAAAAAAAAAAAAAGAAAAGAAAAGAAACACGAAATTAATAATTTTTAAAGTCTAATTTATATCCCATAATAAGTCACATAATAACACATTTGAAAAATATTGCAATTTAATTTGACATTTTTCTTTTTTCTTTCTTTCTTACATTGTCTGCTAATAAAGCTAAGATATAATTAGAAAATGACACTTTTTTTTATTTTTTTACATGTGTGGAAAACAGATAATTACAATTACAGTAATTTAAACTTAATTAAATTAGAAATAAAAATTTTTTTTGAAAAAATTTTTTTATTTCAAAATTTTAATATTAAACATTTTGTAGTCATCTATTGGTCAAATAACATTATTATTATAGTTTTGACAAATTGATAAAGAATAAATGTATTACATGCAAGCATACAAAATGGAACATGCAACACTCATGAGTCAAAAATTTTAATTGTTTGCAAATGCTCTCTAATAAACAATCGAAAATATATAGAGAAATAATAATATACATGTAATATTATAAGTGTAATGTTAAAAAATATAGACTAATAAATATATCAAAGTAAATTACAGTTTGAATGGGATAAAAAGACAAGTAAGAAAACAAAAAATGGAAACAAATATTACCTAAAAATGATTAAAAAGATTAAAAGATAAGTAGGAAGAAAAATGAGTGTTAATTAAAATAAAAAAAAAATTAAAATAAGCAAATTGTTGATGCTGAGGAAGAATATATCGAAATGTTTTAGGATAAAATGATAAGTAATGATAGCATGAATGGATAAAGGTGAAATAGCCAGGTGTTAAAATTAATAGCCATAACATGCTAATAGGAAAAAAAAGAAAGCTAATCATTCAAACATTGCATCTTATCAACAAAACATATGAAATATGATTTTAGAATTTAATTGGATTAATAATTTTCATTTATTGTTGATTACTTTTTGTCTTTTGAATGAACTGATTAATTCAACTGATTAAATTGCATCCCTCTAATTTCATTTCGTAATCTATAAAACTTTTTTTATCATTATTATTAAAAATTATTGCTCAATTCATTAAATCAATACACTGTACTTTATCACACATATTTCATTTCTCATAAATAATATTTACTTTTAAACAATTTCTTTTTTGAGAAAAATTATTAAAATTTACAATTTATTCTGATCTAGCAAATTATCACTTTTGCAAAATAAATTAGGATAATTGTGCTATCGATTATTATACTTTAAAGCGCAATTATATGATTCAGTAAATTGCAAAGTTTTGCCAATGTTTCAGATTATCGCCTTTCTAAAACTCAGTATGATAATATATTCAATAATTAATTAATAATACTCATATACTTATATTAAAGTAGCATTTTTATGCAGGTAAATGAATGAGTAATCGAATAAGTTAATTAATAAGCTAATTGAAATATTTAGTTGAAAGCTATGAACTAATGAATTTAATAAATTGATGTAATATTTATGGTCATTAAATGAATTAGCTAACTTCTAAAAAGCAAATTCGACTATTGCTATAGCTATTTACTTTGGTACACGTTGGACAATTTCTGATACGTCGTTCTATGCCAAAACCAAATGAAGTTGAACACGTTGACCATTCAGTCCATTGTAGATCATCTATTAAAGCACCTTAGCATTAATTAGCTATTTTGTCATCAATAAAAATGTTTAAATTAATTTGAAAGCCAATTTTAAATTAGTTCATATGCTTTGTAAAACTTATTGTCTTTTAGATTAAATAAATCTATATTTGCATTACTTTGTAAAATAAGCATACACCATAGTTCATATTTGACAAATTAATCAATGCATTTTATTTAATTAATAAATTAAGTTTAAATTTATTTAATTGGTAAATAAGCCAACTTTAAATTAGCTCGTATATTTTATATAATTATTGCCAGATAAAGAAGCTTTTTTTTCAAATGTAAAGAAAAAAAACAATTGATAAATTCATATGTACCCATGCATTTGCCATAACATAATTGGCGCTCTTGTCGTGACTTATGACATCGTTTTCCGCCAATGCATGCGCTCACTCTTAGACGAAAACCTTTTCGTCCACAAACTGAAGCTGTACAACTACACCAGTTTGACCATTCAACCCATACTTGTATTATTTATAATAAAAAAAGAAAAGAAATCATCATCAAAAAAAAAAAATTATCGGAATATAATAACTCACACAATTTTTTCATGTTTGATGAAATCCAAAAAATTACAAATGTATTTTATTTATCTATTTCACTCAACAATAATTTATTTGCATTTTTAGGACTAAATCATTAAAATTCTCCATTGAAGCTTACTTATATAATTAATTTAATCATTATTAATACATCACGCATATTAATTACATTAATTATTATTACTTTTAATGCGTTTAGTTGTGGCAAAATCATTTATTGTTGACATATTACTTCTAGAAAAAATTTATTTCCGAAATTAAATTAATTACTAAACAACTTCTCTTTTCCGATTTTGTCCATTGTTTCTTCCCTTTTTTCTTGCTCTTTTAGATCAATTAGTAAATTTTATCGTTCAAAATTTATAAAAAAAAATTTTTTTTGTAAAATTTAAAATGTGCAAAAAAAAAGAAAAATTCGCCCACTTTGTTCAATTGTTGTGTTGTTTGGTAAAATTTTAACATTTTTTGCATCAATTGTATGAAATTATTTTCAATGTTTCATTTCGTCCCGAACAATGTGACGAAAACTCAACAATTGTTCGTCCATTACAATTCAATTTCCATCAGCTTTTGAAAATTTCGATTTTTTTAAGTTAAAATTTGAAAAATGTTTCAATTGTAATAAATTCTAGTAGTCTTTTTTTCTTTCCGTTTTGATCTTAAAGAATTATAACTTATTTTTTGTAATTAATCTGATTTTTTTAATCTGTAATTGTGAAAACTGTTTTTTAATAATTTGAAAATAATTTAAGTGGATTTTAAAAAAATGAAAATATACAACAAAAAACGAGGGAAAGACTAGCATAGGAAAATTTTTTTGGAAAAACTCAGAAATAACAGATTTAAAAAATGGATAAATTTATTAAAATGTTTTTCACTCTTTTTCTATAGAAAGCGAGAAATGAACATGCTTGGAAAAATGAAGTGTAAATTACCCTACATCGGCCTTTAATGCAATAATGTTTTGTACCACACGGTGTATCATCCGGAAAAATGGTTGTTGTTGTGAATGGTTTGGATTGGGTTGGTTTACTTGCACAATGGGTCGAGTGCTCCGTCTTGGGTAATTAAACCAAACAAGCAATCAGTAGTTTGACAATTTAGTGAGGAGGATGAGCTAAGCAACGGGGAGACTGGTAACAATGCTGGGAAGGATCCTGGTTGAGTGGTAATTGCCCTTATATAGGATGATTTGAGGGTGGAGACATAAAGCGATTGATACAATGGAAGCTAGGAGGAAGGCTATGGGAAAGATAGTTTTTGTAAACGGAATTAGATAACAAACAAAGGATTGGAACAGATGTGCATTAGATAATATGACAGATTAGCATGGGAATTTGTTAACACATTACCATCTATGAGTCATTAAGGAATTTGAATTACAATAAAACTTACAATAAATGATTAACATGATTTGCTTAAATATAAATACATTGATTTAAATTTGACCTTTTGCTAAATTCGAATTTGCTAAATTCGACAAAGATTATTTCTAGTGGAATTTCGAGCTTGTTCTCGACACTCCCGAGGGAAGAGCGAAAAGTATTCTAATGGATAGATTTGGGGTTTATAGGATAAAACATTGTGATTCTCAACACTTTCTAAACCTTGATTATGGGTAGTACAAGTTTGAATTAAATGTAAAGGGATGGTGGTAGGTATTTCTCTGTTTCTAGATTTTCTAAGACATATGAATCTTAAGATTGAGATAACCAATTGAAATTTTCATCTAAGAATAATCAGCACGATTAACAACGCGAAGACAATTATCGCAAACATAATCAATCGCCAATGCCAAGTGAGATCCGAAAGTTCCTTTTGTATGGCCTTGGTAGCTTTGCCCAGTATATCCTCCATTGGTATTCGAACTCTTCGCCTTGTTGATTGATTTCCTGCCAAAGAGATTCGGTAGTTTGTGTTTCGGATACCAGCTGAACTAATTCCTGTTTGCGAGCCAATATTTCTAGCTCTGCGTCTATCCGTTCATTTTCAAATTTGTTGATTATTCCAGCTTCGAATTCGACGATAGTTGAATTCANTTTTTAGATTTACAAGGCGACATTTACCATTGATTCTCCTTGCGATGATGTCGTTTCGTTGTAATATGAGCTTCGCAGCCAGAGTTGGATTGTCGTGTGATAGCCACTCGACTAGTAATAGCAAATTATTCCGATTTTGGCAGCTTCTTTGATTGAGGATATTGAGCTCATTATTAATCTGCAGTTGTATATCGTCGAATATATACTGATATTTCAGATTTTCTGGATCAAAGGTTTCCTTGGGGCTGATTTCCAGCATGAATAGCGGTGAATTTGTTTCCCGATTCGGAAATTCTATTGCAGTCGCATGCGTTCCTTGATCCTCGTCAATGATAATTCCACCTTTCATTTGATGGGGTTTGACCAATCGACAATTCGAGGTGATTGACTTCCGTGGTGTCCCCTTATATACAAGGGAGGTTTGTAGCTTGTGGACGACGACGTGATTTTCGTATCGTTGGGCGTCAAAGGTCCTAATTCTACGATAATTGCATTCTTTAGTTGGCTCCGTCCTATTCCAGAGCACAATACTGGTTTTCGTTATACATTCCCCTGCTTGTACTGAACAGTTTTCTGTATTTTCCAGATCAGATACCAGGCCTCTCCCTTCCTCGAGGAGTAGTTCACCCTTCATCAATATGAGGTTCGATGTGGATTGACACTTAACTCCTAGCCAACCATAGGAGTATTGTATCTCGTTATTCGTGGTCCATTTATTCGGAGAGGTTTGTACCAGGGGAACGCTGTTAACTTCCATTCGAGAGTGTAGCTTTTCACAATGATGTGCGTCCATTGCGGAAGTTGTCGTCAAGTCCGAAACTACTGATAATGATATTCTGAGGAATGCTTTAGTGCACACCGTTCGAGTAATGTTATGGCATTTAATAGCAGGTATTCTCACATGAACATGCGTGTAGACTGTAATTCGAATCGGTGTGGCGTTACGAGTTTCAATTGTTTTGCAATTCCATTTCTGAGGCATGTTAAATGGAACACCTGATGTCCATTTGCATTCCTTCGTTTCTGCTGCTTGTAGAATTATCGATATTGCTACTGTTAACAGTAAGTTGGTTAAAACGAAATTTGACTTCTCCCTTTTTTGTAAATTTGTCTGGCTCCGTGTTCGATGAGCAATAGGTTGCTCCTCACCACTTTCACTCGAAATCTTCGTGTTAGTTGTGGTGTTTCGGTTTTGGATAATTGGTTCTGCTCTCTCTGATGGGTTCGCGGGGTTCTCCGTAGACTGTTCTTCTGGAGTAACTTCAAGTGAATACAACGTGCTTACAGGTCGATTTAGAAGTTTTCCTGACGATGTTTCGATCTGAGCGCTCCTGACGTACCCATCATTGGCTACGTTTAATTTCTTTATCCTTGCTAGTTTCCATGTACCACGTGGTGCATGAGGCTCATCTAACAGTACCACTTCTCCTTCTATCGGCTGTCTCTTTTCTACATTTCTTGGAGATTTATGTTCTAATTGGTATCGATCCTTTAAGCTATTCAAGTATTCGTCTTTCCATATCTCCCAAAATGTTTTCAATGTTTCTAGGGTATTCGACCAGTGTTGAAGTAACCTTTCTTGTGTGGTTAGACTATAAGGTGAGAATTCGTCTTCTCTGTCGTTATTGCTATTCAGTATAGACAAAGAAGCATTGGGAATGATGAAGTCTATTGGTCGCAAAATAATTGAGTCGTCGAAATTTACGTAAGTTAAGGGGCGAGTATTAAGAATGCTTTCCACTTCGATAATCAGTGTGATTAGTTCCCCTTCCTTAAGCAGTCGTCTATCGATAGCTCTTCTTAAACTCCTTTTTGTTAGGCCGATTAATCTTTCGTAGATTCCGCCGCTCCATGGTGCTCTCGGTGTTATAGTCTTACATTTGATTCCTTTCTCAGCAAGGAAATTAGAGAGTTGTGATTCTTGCGTTTTTATGGCTTGAAAAACTGCCTGAAATTGGGTGGCATTGTCCGAAAGAATGAGTTCGGGATAGCCGCGTCGCGCAACAAATCTTCTTAATGCAGTTAGGAAACTTTCCGCTGATAGATCGTCCACCATTTCCAAATGTACCGCTCTGGTGGTGAAGCATGTGAACAAGGCGATCCATCGCTTTGCTTTTTCCAATTGTATCTTCACAGTAATCGGCCCCAAATAGTCGAGGCCAATTCGTCCAAACGTTCTTGATTCAGTGATCCGCTCTTGCGGATAATTTGGCATAGGTGGCAATTTGAATGGCTTGGCTTTCCAGCGTTTGCAACTCATGCAGCGGTTTAACACCTTCTTGACTTCAGCCCTTCCTTTCGGAATCCAGTAGAGCTTTCTTATTCTGGAAATAGTTTGAGAGATATCTCCATGATGCGTCGTTTCGTGGTGGTGTTGAATAATTAGTTCTGTTATTCGATTGTGTCTGGGGAGATATATTGTTTGGGATGAGTATTCCCTGTCGTTCGGCAATTGTAGTCTGCTCTGGAATCTCCAGTACCTGTCTGCATAGTGCAGATTGTACTTTTCCACTTCTTCTGCTGTTATACCTTCCGATTGGGATTGTTTTATTAGTAGTTCCGCAGCGAGATTGTAATCCTCGGGTGTAATCGGATTCCTTTCTGATACGCTGCTTAACCAGGTTAATTTTCCTTTAGATAATTTTTTGAGAAATTTTAGTACTCTTACTGTTGTTCTTATCATCTTTGTCCATTTACTGAATCGTTTTGCCTCCAGGAGATTGATTCGATTTGTATTGATGATTTCTTCTGTGGTTGTTGTTGCTACTATATTCTTATCTTCTTCGTTATCCTCTTCTTGTGGAACGTCGTATTCCCAATGAGGCCAATTCGGTTCATTACCATTGATCCATGTGGGCCCGCTCCACCAAGGCTCGTAACTTATTAGACGAGTCGGAATGGTTCCTCTGGTAGCAATGTCTGCTGGATTGTGTTCGCTTGGGATATACCGATATGCGAATTTCGCCATTTGTATTTCTTCCACACGATTCTGTATAAATTTTGGTAGGAGGCGAGAGTTGTTTTGTATCCAATGTAGTGCACAGCGAGAGTCCGACCATACCACTACCTTTGGATTTTCTAATTCCATTTGTTTGATGACAAACTGAGCTGCGCGTACACCGATGAGAATAGCTAGTAATTCTAGCTTTGGTATCGTCATTCCTTTAATAGGTGCTAATCGTGATTTAGCAAAGAGTAACGACGTATGCGTATTTTGATGGGCGTATACTACTGCAGCATATGCCACTGTAGATGCATCGGTGAAAACATGGAAGGTAATTTGTTGTAATAAATCGATTGTGAATCGCGGGATTTCCTTGATATGAGTTGGGCATTTTACCACAAGATTGTTCCAGGTTTTAATCAATTGATTGTCGAGGGTTGATCCCAATGTATGTTTTTCTCCAGAGTTCTTGGAGAAATATCTTGAACGGTACTATCAGTGCTACTAGGAATCCAAGTGGGTCGTATTGTGAGGCGATGAACCGTAGAATAGTTCTTTTGTTGTTGTTTGTTCGGTCCATGGATTTAGTGTTATTTGGATATGATCCTTGTGTGGATTCCACTTAATCCCTAATATTTTCTTTATTTGACTCATTCGTGCTCGGTCCGATTTGGGTAGTTGCTCATTGAATGTCTGGTCATTTGAGAGGAATTCTCGCACGTTCATTGACGCATCCTTGAAAATTGATTTTGTTTCTTCATATTTATTCAAGGCTTCCTTTTCATGGCTCGCTGATAAGATGATATTGTCGACGTAAAGATTCTTCTTGAATTTCACGTGCCAGTTTCAGTCTCATAATGTTCCAAATGATAATGAGAGTTGCTGATAATAAAAGGGTGACGATATACTCCAGGGAACCCTTTTTAGAATCGATAGCATATTAAATTATCTCTGTCCACCTGTTTCTGAATATCTTTTACCCATAGAAAGCGTGTGCAGTCCCGTTCCGTTGGCAGCAACTCTAATTGTAGGAAGGCTTTTTCGACGTCAGCTATTATGATGATTTTCATTGTTCTTAGTCGAATTAATATTCCAGCTAAATCGGGAAGGGTGATAGGGCCTCGATACAAGACATCGTTTAAGCTTTTCCTGCCTCTGAGGTGAGCGGAAGCGTCATAAACTATTCTGACCTTTGTCGTGGTGTTATCTGATTTTACCACTTCATGATGGGGCAAGTAATGGATAATACCTTGATGGTTTGTGAAATGACTTACCCTTTCGATGACATTGGATCTTAACTGTTCATTGATTGTTTCATTGTATGTGGTAAGTAGATGTTGGTTGCGGTGAAGTCGCTTGATTAACGACTGTAAGCGTCCGAGACATAATTCGAAATTGTCGCTTAATTTGGAACTGGTGTCTTTCCATAGCCATGCGACCTGGTATCGTCCATCGGATTTTCTAATCGTTTGCTTAAATTGTTTTAAGGCTTCTTCATCGTCATTGATCTCGGGTTTGTCTTGTATGCCTATTAGTTCCAGTTTCCAGAACTGATCTAAATCTGGAACGTTGATCGTGTTAGCGGCGTAAACTATTTGTGAGGACATTCGTGAATTGGGAGAAATTTTCTTTGTATAGCCAGACCCAGCCAGGATCGGGCCCACTTTAGTGTGGAGCAATGTGAATCCCGATTGCAGATTCTCTGCTTTGTCGAAATTGATGAATTGAAAGAAGTGGTTGGCTCCTATTAATATATCCGGTTGCTTCCATTCACTGTGGAAATCAATTGTTGGACTTCCTTTGAGGGATCGTATGTCGCTTTCACTTAAGTTGACTACTTGTAGTTTGTTTGTTAAATAGTCCACGGTGTTCGCTTCGAGCAACACTGTACGGTCCTTTCCGATTTTTATCCCTATTTCAATTCTGGTTGTAAGGTGCGTGTTCGGGTCCTTTTTGCCGAATGAAGCGATGTTTAATTTCCCTTCATCTGTTTTGTTAAGCATTAGTTGTTTGGCTAAGTTCTTTGAAACAAAGGATAATTGTGATCCAACGTCGAATAGGGCTAAAACCCTTTGTTGAGTATTTGGATTAGTTGGGTTGAACACATTTATCTGCTTGCATAAGAGTAGGATGCGCTTGTCACGTTTCTTCTCTTTTTCGACTATTATATTTGTCGTGGTAGTGGAGTCTGGATCCTCTGGTTTATTGGGCATTTCCTTGAATTTGTTAGGGCACAGCGCGGAATTGTGTTGACCCTTGCAGTGGAAGCAATTCCGTTTCTTGTTTTTGCATCTGGCTGCCATATATCCGATCTTGAAGCAGTTGAGGCAAGCGTTTAGTTTCTTCAGACGTTCCAGCCTTTGTTTGAGAGTGGGATAAATCTGGCACTCTTCATCCCAGTGATTCTTGTTGCATAGTGCACAAGGTCTTGATAGGGCTTTGATGATGGGTTTCTCCGGAACAGAGGTTGTTTTTGATGGAGTATAATTCGGTGAACAAGGCTCGTTTGATGGCGTAAGGCTGCCCAAACTTTTTGATAGCTTGGAGGGCGTCTCCTTTGAGACATGTGATGAGATAGTTTAGTTTATGGATATCGGGAATTGCTTGTTGATGTATAGCTGTTTTCCTCCAGCGTCTTGGATTCCCACTGAATGTGGGCAGTGGTAGTTGTGGGAGATTTACTGTAGGGTATTTACCCGCTTGTGTGGGTTCCTTGGGTTGAGTTGTTTCCTCCCTTACCATAGACTGATTTAGCCGTTGTAATATGAACTCCGAATCATTTTGATACATTTTTAAAATGACTACAGTTATAATGGATATATGATTTTTTCTTGGATCCTTCTCCGTTCCTGATGAAGACGGATTGTTTCGTCGGTTGTTGTTATTTGGTCAACCCAATCCAAATCATTCACAACAAAATTTATGGTGCCACGAGCCGGGAACATGTCATCCATCATCATCAGAACCGCAGACCAAACAAAACGAAGATTGTGTGAAGTCCTCAACGAAATCAAGCGTCTGAACTTGGATTCGGTCGACCAAATGACAACAACCGACGAAACAATCCGTCTTCATCAGGAACGGAGAAGGATCACCCAAGAAAAAATCATGCATATCCAAATATACATAGAGGCGTTGGAATCGGTCAATACAGAGTGGAAACAATTCATCCAGCAGATTTCAGTCTCAACCAAAAGAAAAGAAGAAGAAGATCGATACCTTCAGATAAACGACGATGAATCAGGTATTACCAACTTAATTTTACAAGCAAAACAAACTGTAGTCATTTTAAAAATGTATCAAAATGATTCGGAGTTCATATTACAACGGCTAAATCAGTCTATGGTAAGGGAGGAAACAACTCAACCCAAGGAACCCACACAAGCGGGTAAATACCCTACAGTAAATCTCCCACAACTACCACTGCCCACATTCAGTGGGAATCCAAGACGCTGGAGGAAAAACAGCTATACATCAACAAGCAATTCCCGATATCCATAAACTAAACTATCTCATCACATGTCTCAAAGGAGACGCCCTCCAAGCTATCAGAGGTTATGACATAACTCCGGAGAATTACAGTATCGTAAGAAATGTCCTCGTCGAAAAGTTTGGGCAGCCTTACGCCATCAAACGAGCCTTGTTCACCGAATTATACTCCATCAAAAAGAACGATAGAGAGTGGAAAGCAACGCTTGAGGCCATTGAGCGAACACTTCGACAATTGGAGGCCATCGGTGAGAATTTAGAGCAGTCCGGTATCGAAATAGCTGTGGAAGGGAAATTGCCAACCTGGATCCTAGAACAGGTTTACAGAAGAAAGAGGCAGGAATCGTGGTCTGTCACCAAACTCCGAAACTTCCTCACGGAGCTTGCATCTGTGAACGAAGAAGTAGTACAAAGCCAGTCCCTATGGTTTAAAGGGAATAAGGAGAATCAATCTCCAATAAAAGGCAAGCCAAGACCACGACACAATCCCAATGAGACTTCAGCCTTAACAACCTCTGTTCCGGAGAAACCCATCATCAAAGCCCTATCAAGACCTTGTGCACTATGCAACAAGAATCACTGGGATGAAGAGTGCCCGTTGAGTGGTAATTGCCCTTATATATGATGATTTGAGGGTGGCGAGATAAAGCGATTGATAAAATGGAAGCTAGCAAGATAAAATGGAAGCTAGGAAAGATAGTTTTTGTAAACGGAATTAGATAACAAATAAGGATTGGAACAGATGTGCATTAGATAATATGACAGATTAGCATGGGAATTTGTTAACACATTACCATCTATGAGTCATTAAGGAATTTGAATTACAATAAAACTTACAATAAATGATTAACATGATTTGCTTAAATATAAATACATTGATTTAAATTTGACCTTTTGCTAAATTCGATTGTTCGGTACAAAGATTATTTCTAGTGGAATTTCGAGCTTGTTCTCGACAGTTGTTGTCCGGATTTGTCCATGAGATAGTAAACACCTTAAATTACAATTATTGCTATTCTTTTTCAAATTGCTTATAATGTTCATGGATTAAATAATTGAAAAACTTTAATTTGTTAATTTGAAATTTTGAAAATTTTTTTAAAAAGCAGAAAAAAACATGAAATTCTTTGAAATAATAAAGTTTTAAAGGAACAAAGATGAAGACTTGAGAGAAAGAGAGGAAAAATAAGAAATAATTAAAATATGCTCAAAAATTTTAGTCTAAGCTATTTTTTCAAATTAATTTAATAGTTATTTTAATTAATAATACCATATTTTGCACAAATGATCCTTATACTTCATTCCTTCGCCTGTTAAATTTCTAATTCTTCGATCATTATTATCACAAAGTGTTGCACAATTTTTTGTTACAAATTCTTCAATCGATAATCCATCACATTTCTAACACATAAATTATTATTTGAAGAAAAAGAAATTAAAATTTTAACCTAATTTCAAAAAATTTTTAAAAACTAATTAATGAATAATTTGAAAAACTTTTTATTTCAAACTGTATGATTTTTATAAAATTCGGTTATGGGATGGATAAAAATTTCAAAAATATCATCGTTTTTTCTTTTTTTTTTTAAAATATTTTTGCTAAAAAAAAATTCGAAAAAACGATAAAAATTATAATAATGAGTCTACACTAAATAAATTTTGGTTAAAAAAAACAAAATCAAACTAAACAAACAAAATGAAAAAAAAAAAAAAATTAAATTAAGTTTAAGATACGTTTGTTATTTTTTCAAAAAGAAAAAGGAAAAATATTTGAGTGCATATTTTGCAAATTAGAGAACTTTTGAAAATATTTCATATTTTTTTTGTGAATCAAAAAAATTTTGTTGTGACAAATTGCAGTGATTTCATTCATTCCTTCCCTATTATCATATCATTATGCACTAACAAATGAAATGGCGAATTTAATCATCCTGTAATTTACACAAAACTAACAATTAATTGTTTCGAAAACATTCAAAAGAAGAAAACAACAATTAACATAGCAGTAATAATTAAAATAATTCAAAGATAAAATTTGCATTTTTTTGAAGTAAAAATATTTCAACATGCACTTATAAAGATTATCACAAATTCGTATTGAACGTCGTACTTTAATTTGTCCACTTATTTGACATGGAACACATTCCGTCACGCAACTACCACGACCACCATCTCTCCAACCACTCCAACCGCCATGGCATAAAATGATAAATTCCAGTATTGCCGATTTACAGTGACCTTTAATACACCACTGAAATTGAGTTATAATACTATGATACTACAACCTCAAAAAAAAAAAAAAAATGAATTTATTATTTAAAATGTAAATATTAAGATATTTTGAACTTTTTGAATTCATAACTTATCTGTCATAAGTTAATGATAATATCATTTCTTTCTCCCTCTATCTCCCCCTTTCTGTCTCTCTTAAATGATAAATGTTATCCAATACTTCATTCGTTATCAGACAACAACAAACAACAATAAAATTTAATATTCTGTAAACGATAAGAAACTTAATAATAATTGTATGGCACTTAATTTTGCCAAATAAAAAGTTAAATGGAAATTGCCAATTTCCTGTGCAACAATAAAAATAGTACTAAAATCATGGCCTTCACTTATTTTGCAACTCTTTTCCTCGTTACATATTCTATTCATAAGTGCATAACTAGCCAAGGTGTAACTTTCACTATGATATAAGTCATACCTAATAATGACAAATGATAAGCGACAGAATAAGTAATAAAAAATTTATTTTAATTAAATATAATCAAATAAGTTGTCTTAACTCGATTGCATTATTATACGTTCTCTCTCTTTAAAATAAGTAAAAAAAAAATTAATTATAATTAAATAAATAAGCATAATTCGATTACAAGGTTGTATATATCCTCCCTCTCCCTCTTCTCCCTATATAATATTACATAACTGCAGCTGAGTATAATTTTATTTTAAATTTTAAACATTACTCTTTTGTTTATTTTTATTTTGGCATTTAACATCTATTTAGTTTTTAGATAATAGCAAAATTAATTTAAAAAGATATTCTTGAAAAAAAAATTTCTTTTAATTTAAAATGAGTAATTATTAACATACCCGGTGAAGAGTAATGCATGATCAGATCGCTTAGTTGGTTTGCTATTTCGATTCAATATAGCTTGATAAATGCAAAATGAAAAAGTGTTGCATTACCATTTCCATGGAAATTACGTGACATTCAACCTTTTATTTTTTTTTCTTAATTTATTTTAAATTTTATTTTGTTGTTTTATTTTTTGTTTATGCATAAACTTTTTCAGTGACTATAATTCATTTAGTTGTCAATTATTTTCAATGATGATCTTTAATGATTAATGTTGAAATAAAACATTAATCTGAAAATGATCAAATAATATTTAATATTGGAAATGAATATGAATATTTATTAGCCTCAAATGAATAGAGCTGACCTTCAAAAAAAAAAAAAAAAAATAGCCTTATTCAAGTAAGAAAAAAAATATTTTATCACTACCTTAAAAAGACGCACTACACCAGCTAATTAATTGTTCTTAGCTATTAGTTAATTAATTAGTTTCACTGACTTCAAAATAAAAATAACAGTTTTCACTTTTAAAATATTCATTGTTTACAATTAATGCACAATTTCGAAGTGTTAAATATACTTTATCTTAATTGCTGAAAATGCAACCAAAATGCATCATCAAGAAACAAAGGTCAAGTCCAATTGTTAATTTATCATTTCTAAAAAAAAGATAATTTTAAGCGGTAATTTTTAAAATTTCACGAATGTTCCCACTTTTTCCAGATTACAAAATATTACGAATAATTGTAATATTATTTGAATGGTAAATATTTTTTTTAGCTAATTTATTATTTGTAAAATAATGCCGCAAATTATGGAAGTATCTATTGTTCTATTTGCCAGATGGATTCTAAAAATTAATTTTCAAATAATAAATATAACATGATTTAATCTAAATCTATTTTATTTGCCATTTCTTCGTTTTATTTTGACATTTTTTTAAATTTTCAAATTAATTTTTTATTGTAATTGAATATTTTCATTTATTATCAGGCAAATTTTTTGATAGGATTCTTTTCATGGATTAAAATTTAGAATTTATAAAATTCATCGAAAAAATTCTGATCATAAGATCAAAATTTGAAATATTTGTTTTAATGTCATTTTTTAAAATTTTTATTATATTCCTGCAAGCAAATGTGGCAAAAACAATTTTAAAAAATCAAGCAATTATTTTGTCAATTGGTAATTCGATCATTCAGTTTTTCAAATGATAACAGTATGAATTTGATTTTTATTGGTAACAAAAATTTTTATTGTATAATTGAAAAGAAATTATTTTAAAGTCATCTCATTTCATTTGACATCGATTAAATCCATTTTATCGTTTATGGAATTTTTAGTGCATCATCAACATAAAATTATCATGTCTGATAAGATTTACTTAACAAGCACTTTCTTTTTGTTGATCCTATCAAATTCATACATAATGCTATTTCATTTATTTTATTTTATTTAGATATTATACTTGCCTGCACCTATATCATTAATTATGTTTTATTTCCTTATCCTATTTTGTGTTTGTTTAAAACTTTAAGACAATTTACAGATAGAATTCATAAATTGTGTTAGAAAAAAAAATAATATTAATAACATGCATACTAATCTGAAAGCGATAAAAAATTATTTCAATAAAAAAATATTATTCAATCATATCACATTATACAAAATGCTTTGTTTTTTTTTTTAAATTATTTTTTTAGTCTTTTTAACCTTTAGGTCTGCTTTTTTTTTTTTGAAATTCAAGTGGATTATTGTTTTTTGATACTACTAAGTTATGTAAGCTTAATTAAAGTTTTTTTTTTCCTTTTTGATTTCCATTATAAACCATTTAATTCTAATAAACGGTCTTAGTTTTAAACCATTTTTGAATAAAGATTTAAAAAAAAAAATTGTTTTTGTGGAATATATTCTCAATATGTACAAAAGCTGAGCATAAATTAAAATAAATGAGAATAAAAATATAGCAAAAAAGATGAAGTACCAATATAAATATATAATAAAATTAAAATATCAATTTAGATACAGATAATCCATTATAGTACTTGATTTCAATATGTTTTGAATACGCACAAAGTATATAAAATTATCTTAACTCATTCGATCATTCACTATTACTGCTTTTTAACTTTTCCTTCATTTAATTTGCAAAAAGAATTGAGAATTTCTTTTTGCTAATAAATAATTGACTTATTCGCTTCAACTATGCTACGTTCAAATGTAAAAAAAAATGTAAATTATTAAAATTTCAAAAGTAAATCTCAAACATTTATTGTCAGTACAATTTTTGAGGAACTATAAAAAGTTAACAAAGTATATTTTTAAACCTACACTAATACATTTTTTATAAATATTTTTTTAAATCGAAGTTAATGTATTTTTTATACCTTTTCATTTTTGCATTTTTTTTATTATATTTACATAACTTTTTGTTATTATATATTTTATTCTGCAATTTTATTTTAAAATACACATTCCCTTAAATCTTTCGTGTCAATGAGCAATTTTAAATTAACTAGTATGAATTACTAATTAATATAAATTAGTCTAACTAAGCTTATGTCAAATTTAAGCGTAAATTCTTATCGTACATCGATTGGTTTCGCAAAAATTCAGCATTTGATATCGTTTACTGAGCATTAGCCTTCAATAAATATTTTCTTAGGAAAAAAAAAGTTTTAAAAAAAACTTTAGCGAAGTGTTTGAGTGCAATTATTTCAAAAAAATTTTTTTATTACAATTTAATATCAATTTATTATTTCTTTTTTTTGTCTTTTTCTTGTTCCTTTTCAAATATTATTATTTAAAACAATTAATCAAAAGAAATTCTTACCTAAAAAATAATTTGAATTTTTTCATTTTTCAGGAAAAGAGGAAAGAAATTTTTTCCGTTTATTAGAAAAAATGTTGAACAATTAATTTAATTTATTATTGTTGTTTCTCTTTACCTCTATTTTTTATTATCATTTATCATCAAAAGGATATAAAATATAAATTACTAATTAATTCTTTGGTATTTTTTTTCAATGAAGAAGAAACAAGAAAAACCCGCCAATAGTTTCATTCATTTTCAATTGATGGATTTTTTTTCGCTTTTTTTTGTTTTAAAGTAATTAACAAAAATGAATGCTAATCATAGTGTGAAGAGCTAGTTGTAAATAAACTAATTAGCTAATCATAAACACTAATCAATTGTAATTTATAATTAAAAAAACATTATTAATTTTAGTCCTTAAAAGATGGAAAAAATGAAAAATAGAAAAAAAAAAATTAATAAAAAATCTGAGAGTTCCGAGATATTATTTAAAAAAAAAAAACAAAATAATATTTTACTTCATATCAATACTACACATATTAAATCAGCACTCTTCCAACAATCTTTTTTTGTTCTAGAGAATTTAAATTTAAGGGTCAATAATATCATTACTACTTAAATACTAGTTAATAATATACCACTTGAATATTAAAACTTAAAATTACTACCAACATTTCTCGAACAAATATAAGAAAGTGAGTAGAAAAAAACGTAAAACTTTTACATGAAATAATACAATAATAACGAGAAGGCAGAATTGAAATAAATGAACATTTAATGCTTAATCGCTAGTTAAAAACAATAATAATAATAATTAAAGGAAATGACCAAATAAAAGTTGAAGATAAGGAAAAGATCGATAGTAAAATAATTACTTGAATAAAAAAAAAAGTTTATTTTTTTTCAAATCTTAGTCAAATTAATCTGTTGGAAAGTCCTAGATTTGTTTGGATGAAAATTATTCAAAAGCAGAGAAAGGAACCAATCATTTAAAAAAAAAAACGTTTCACTACAAAATGTTTATCTTATCTTTGTTTCCTTCATTAAAATATGAAACTGGTTGAGGATTAATTCATTCACTCTTTTTTTTTTAATTCATTAAAATTAAATTTAATTTTTACTCCATTTAATTACATTGTATACACATATCAAATATTAGGAACTGGAAGCTTTTGCTTGCTAATTTAGATTTGAAAAAATTTTTTTTTTTTTTATTTTAATTCCTGTAATAGGAAAAGAGGAATATCAATGGAGAAAAAATAAGAAAAACTTTTAATTTGCTTTTTTTCCTAATTTGTTGGATAATTTTCAGCGTATTATTCACATTATTAATGTTAATGTTGAGCAAAATAAATAAATCAAATGTAAGAAAAAAAACTATAGTCAGGCTTCCTAACATTTATTATTAAAAATAACGAAAGCTGATAAAGAGAAAATAAATCTCATTACTCAAAAAAATTATTTAGTATGACCGTATAGCAACTTTGCGATCAAATTATATAGTGATTTTTACAATTAATTTATGCATTACAATTTAGTTATTTTCATTTTTTTTTTCTGGTCTTAGCTTATTTAATTTACAGCAGTGACAGCTATTAAGTTCACTAGCTATTTCATTAAATATAAATGCTAAAAGAAAAATTATTAACATAAAATTTACTTCAAAAAAAGTATTTCAGAAAGAAAAAAAAAGATAGAACAGAAACCATAATGCCTGAATTATCCAATAATTAATTGAATGCATTAACAAATCCAGTTACTCCACTTAAATTTAATGCGCATTTTAGAATTATCAATATCACTTAATCAAAATTTAAGCATCTGCTCAAATTTTAAAAAAAAATTTTACTACTTCACTAATAATTCTACTACTATTTCACTACATTATATTTAGTTGAAACATTTTGAAATTAGCGTTGTAATGTTGAAAATATTTTGTGCTTCTTTTTTTTTTCTTTGTTATCACTTTCTACTCAAACAAAATTAGTAAGTAAATATGCATAATATTATCATAACTAATCATATCAATTTGCACGAATGTAATACTCATTACAACAAAAAATTTGTACTAAATAAGCATTTCATATTATATAGGAGATGTATTTATGGCAAATAATACTGCAATTGTATTTTGTGCAATGATAAATTGAAATATGAATGAAATGCTTCATAATTTTCGAATGCTCATGTGAAGTTTTGAAATTTGCTTATTTGAAACTTTCACTATTAATTTCATCTCATTTCCATTTGACAAAAATTTTTATATGTGATGATTAAGCTTAACAAACAATTTAACGCCTTATATAAGATGTAAATAAGATAAGGAATTATTCCATGTTGATTTTGCATTATGTCGTGGATAGGGATTTTACGGAAAAGAGAACAAAATCGAATAAAATTAGTAAAACATTGAAAGACGGACAGGACAGAGAGCGAGAGAGAGAGCAGTAAAAGAGAATGTGAGAATATCTTCATAATTTCTACAAAACATTCTGAGAAAACAAGTTAAATCACCATCAAAAAAAAAAAAAAAAAAAAAGACTCAGGTTAATAATAAAACAATGAAAAGAAAAGTAAAACATCAAAAATAAATTGTATTAAATTGGGTAATCACTTTTCTTTTCTTCTTTCTCAGCTATTCTAGCAAATTAGAAGAAAATAGGACACTGAAAAATGCTGATTTATGGAAGATTCTCACGAAGTTCTCGGTGAATTTTCTTCACCAAAACATAAGCGCTATCTGGTTCAATCCTTTTATAATATTTTTCAGCTACACCAACAATTTCAAAACCGAAACGTTTGTAGAAATCCAATGCTGACTCATTATTAATCTGAAAAAAAAAGTGAAACAGAAACATTAGTAATTTCACAGATTTATATTTACTCATTTAAACATTCATATTGGAATTAGACAAAAGAAAAGGAATGTTAAATCAACCAAGAAGATAAATTGAATCTATAAACTCATGAAAAAATAACAGAAATTCATCATATTGATGGAGATAATGATATAAAATACTATTATACATAGCAATTAAACTGTGAAACAGTATAAGCATAATGTTTCTGGTTAGTTTCTACATTAAACAATTAATAAAATGTTAAAGAGCTTAACATTTTTGAAGACAATAATATACAAAGGTGATATTTAAAAGAAAATAAAAATTAAATTTGAGGAGAAACCTGAACGTGAAGATAGATGTTTTCAATTGTTGGATCTCTGTCGCAAAGTGTAAATAAGCAGTCAATAAGCATTAAAAAAAAAAATTATGGCTATTCATCAGTTCTGTTTTTTCCTCTACATTTTATATTACTTTTCATGGAAGTAATGTTACCAATAACAAAGTAAACAATTTAAAATTTAGCATTTTCATTAATCTTCTATCATATTTATAGGATATATTTCAATTTCATTTTGGTCTAGAAATGTTTTAGGTAAAGAAAGATTTGTTTCATTTCAATATGCCTGAAATTTTGCTTCATTTTACCTTTTTAAAAAAAGAATTTAAAAAGCAAAAAAAAAAAATTTTTTTCTTATTCATTCGCGTACAATTGGCTGATCAAAAATTAGCTCGTTTATATCAATTTCTAATTGATTTAGCACTTTTAAACTTGCTTTTTTTCTTCTTTCAAACTTATTCAATATTTGAAATTTTCACCCTGAAAATATTTTGCTGCATCGATCAATAAACGGAAAGAGAAAAAATCAATGTTATCATTTCAATTATTATATTTGATTAATTATTTGGTGATGGTTATTTAGTAAGTAAATAAGCGTATGAATTTATGAAATATTACAAAGTAAAACAAAGGAAAAGAAATAGATTATGTTTCATATTTTGGAGTGAAATTATGAAAACTAAACGTTAATAAATTAATTTTTCTATTCTTAAATTATAATTAAAATATTCCATAATACAATGTTATAATTGCTAATCTATACGACAATGTCGTAAACATCAGTTACAATATGTAGGCTATTTAACCACATTTATTCATTTTTCATTTCTTTTTTTTCATCCAACAAATATTTTCAAAAGAATTTCAAGTACAACTAATTTCATTTTGTTAATGAAATACGGGACTATATTAAATGTTTTAGAATTTTTTACTCGTCAATTTTTTTTCTTCATTGAAAAAAAAACAAAAAAAAAAAATAATAAAACTAAAAACTTTTCTTTTGTTTAATGTCTTACATTCGTGGAATAATTAAAAATTTTTGAGAAACAAAATTTCATAAATTAAAAAAAATTGCAAATTTTAATGTGCTAGGCTTTTGATAAAATTTTTCAAATCTCTATATTTTTCCAATATGTTTTTTCATTTTAAGCATTTCATATCATTTCTTATAAATAAACAATATTGTTGAACAGAAAAGACAATTATTGATTGTCAAAACATAAAATTAAAATTTTTTTCAGAATTAATACATAATGCTTTAAAAATATTATTATATATAAAAAATTTGATGTAAAATGAAAATAGAATTTCGAAAAGAACAAGAATTGCTTGGCTAATTTAAATTTCAATGAGGTAATAAACGAAATTTTGAAGAAAATTTTACAAAATGCTTTTGCTTTGTGATACATTTAACATGCATATCAAAGTTTCGTTTTGTTTATTTTTGTCATAATTTGTCATTATCAGTTTTAAATTTACTTTTTTAAAAACATATTTACTTTATCGCCACTTTTAAACATTTAATTATTTCATTTTAACTCCTAAAAAAATTTAATTAGATTTGTTTTTAATTCACTTATCTGATAGCAAACTATTTATTTTATCAACGATATGTTAGAATATCTTCACCACTAGAGTCATTATTATCAAAAATTAAATTGGTCATTAAATGAAGAATTATCAATTATTAAAAAAAGCACATGTTTTTATTTTCACTGATCGATTTATTGATGAAATGCTTTTTTTGTTTTATGATTTTTTGTGTATTTTTTGCTTATTTAAGATAATATTAAGTGTGATAATTATTTCAGGTGTAAAAAGGAGTCACTATCTGTTGGCTTATCAAAATGTTATCGTTGATTCTTTTGGTCTTGGTAAATTATCTCATTCCATTTCTTTTTTTTTTAATGTAAAGAATAATTCATATGCAATAATCGCAAAAATCTTTATTGTTAATAGAAAATTATCTTCTTGGTATTAATCATGATAAAATATTGTAAATTATGAAATATCTGATTACTATGAATTAAAAGATTATTTATAATATTTGAATGATTGGTAATGTACAAGGAACTATCGATTGATCGATTGATAGGTTCGTTGATTAATTAACAGAATATCTGTCAAAATATGCATTGCAAAAAGAAATTTGTTTTTTTTTGCAGGCATTGGGTGAATTTAATGATGCAAAATCTAAATTTGATGAAATAAAAAAAATGCGAGATGCCATAAAAGGCTCAAGATTTCGAGCAAAACAGTCATTAAATTCAATAGATGGAAGTGAATTTGATGGCTTGGATGGTATAAGAATTAGGATAGAAAAGCGATCTCTCGATGCATTACAAGGTGAGGGATTCGGGATGGAGAAGAGAGCTCTCGATGCACTGGAGGGTGAGGGATTCGGGATGAAGAAGAGAGCTCTCGATGCACTGGAGGGTGAGGGATTCGGGATGAAGAAGAGAGCTCTCGATGCACTGGAGGGTGAAGGATTCGGGATGAAGAAGAGAGCTCTCGATGCACTGGAGGGTGAAGGGTTCGGGATGAAGAAGAGAGCTCTCGATGCACTGGAGGGTGAAGGGTTCGGGATGAAGAAGAGAGCTCTCGATGCATTAGAAGGTGAGGGATTCGGGATGAAGAAGAGAGCTCTCGATGCATTGGAAGGAGAAGGATTCGGGATGAAGAAGAGAGCTCTCGATGCATTGGAAGGAGAAGGATTCGGGATGAAGAAGAGAGCTCTCGATGCATTGGAAGGAGAAGGATTCGGGATGAAGAAGAGCTCGATGCATTAAGGAGAAGGATCGGGATGAAGAAGAGAGCTCTCGATGCATTGGAAGGAGATGAAGAAGGATCTCGGGATGAAGAAGAGAGCTCTCGATGCATTGGAAGGAGAAGGATTCGGGATGAAGAAGAGAGCTCTCGATGCATTGGAAGGAGAAGGATTCGGGATGAAGAAGAGAGCTCTCGATGCATTAGAAGGTGAGGGATTCGGGATGAAGAAGAGAGCTCTTGATGCATTGGAAGGTGAAGGATTCGGTATAGACAAGAGAGTTCTCGATGCATTAGAAGGTGCGGGACTCAGGATGAATCATCCTCTTAAATCTTCTGGTATATTTTTAATTTCAATATTTTTTCTTGATTCTTAAAATAAACAAACTTCTTTTAAATTTCTAATTTAAAAAAAATCAGCATCAATTTCTATTATAATTGTGATTGATTTATGACTAATTTAAATTAAAATGGATAAAATTTTAAATATAATTTAAAAAGATGAATTAGTTTTGCAGATTCTAGGACTAAAGGTTTTCATATGAATCGTTTTTCTACAAATGGAAGGCATTCTCATCCTCATCTAAGTAGGATATCCATTTTAGATTTGTTTTTCTGCTCATTTCTTTTTTTTTTTTAACCCTAATTAAAATACGAAAAATTTTGTTCTTTTCCTTAATTTTAATTAGAGTGTAAATATAATAAATATTTCCATGATATTATGTATAAATTAATTAAAACATTCCATATAACTTAAAAATGATAAAAATTTATTCAAAATTTTTTATTCATTGACAAATTCACTTATGATCAATTATAATCAGCTAATTGATAGATAAATTTTAGTAATCATTTATCTAAAGTTATAAGTCAAGTTAAGTTTATTACAAGCTAAGTTATTTTATTATACGATTGGAAACAGCGTTAGAGATTACTTATTAAATTATAAGTTAATTTTATATGATTATAATGCAAGACAATTAATTTTGCTGTAAATTGATTTGTATGATTGCAAACAAAATCAATTGATGTTAATTTGATTTGTTATAAGTTTAAATTGACTGGCTTATAAATCAAGTAGAATTGTAAGACTGTGAGCTAATTAGCCTAATTAATAAGCTACACAAGAACAATCATTAAAATTCCAATAGTCGTTATAATTTTCTAGAATTTATTTATCTTCTCGCTACAATAATTTCATTAATAAGATATTTCAATAATTTTATTCATATTCAAAATTTCAGCATGCTGAAAATTTTTTCAGTTTTTTAAAAAATCATTTAATTTAAAATAAACTTAGTTATTCAAAAATTAAATAATTAGACATGAAATAAGGGAAAATTAATGAATTAATCAGTTTGCATTATAATAATTAGTTCGATTTAAAACTTTTTCTTATTTAAAAGAAATGAAGCAAAGAAACTAAATGAATAGTATTAATTAACTACAAATATTTCAGCAAAATTCTAAAATGAAGGATAAACAAAGAGAGAAAAGTGGTAGAAAAAAAGAGAAAGAGAAATGCTATGGAGCTCATATATCCTTTTTGTATCATTTAAATCAATATGATAAATATTTTATTTTATACCACGTTTTACGTTACCAAGAACAAAAACAGGTATAATTATTGCACGTAAATGATGACAGAATTATTTTTAAAAAAAAAAAAAAAGAGAGAAAGAAAAGAAACACGAAATTAATAATTTTAAAGTCTAATTTATATCCCATAATAAGTCACATAATAACACATTTGAAAAAATATTGCAATTTAATTTGACATTTTTTTTTTTTACATTGTCTGCTAATAAAGCTAAGATATAATTAGAAAATGACACTTTTTTATTTTTATATTATTTTTACATGTGTGGAAAACAGATAATTACAATTACAGTAATTTAAACTTAATTAAATTAGAAATAAAAATTTTTTTTGAAAAAATTTTTTTATTTCAAAATTTTAATATTAAACATTTTGTAGTCATCTATTGGTCAAATAACATTATTATTATAGTTTTGACAAATTGATAAAGAATAAATGTATTACATGCAAGCATACAAAATGGAACATGCAACACTCATGAGTCAAAAATTTTAATTGTTTGCAAATGCTCTCTAATAATACAATCGAAAATAATATAGAGAATAATAATATACATGTAATATTATAAGTGTAATGTTAAAAATATAGACTAATAATATATCAAAGTAAATTACAGTTTTGAATGGGATAAAAAGACAAGTAAGAAAACAACAAATGGAAACAAATATTACCTAAAAATGATTAAAAAGATTAAAAGATAAGTAGGAAGAAAAATGAGTGTTAATTAAAATAAAAAAAAAATTAAAATAAGCAAATTGTTGATGCTGAGGAAGAATATATCGAAATGTTTTAGGATAAAATGATAAGTAATGATAGCATGAATGGATAAAGGTGAAATAGCCAGGTGTTAAAATTAATAGCCATAACATGCTAATAGGAAAAAAAAGAAAGCTAATCATTCAAACATTGCATCTTATCAACAAAACATATGAAATATGATTTTAGAATTTAATTGGATTAATAATTTTCATTTATTGTTGATTACTTTTTGTCTTTTGAATGAACTGATTAATTCAACTGATTAAATTGCATCCCTCTAATTTCATTTCGTAATCTATAAAACTTTTTTTATCATTATTATTAAAAATTATTGCTCAATTCATTAAATCAATACACTGTACTTTATCACACATATTTCATTTCTCATAAATAATATTTACTTTCAAACAATTTCTTTTTTGAGAAAAATTATTAAAATTTACAATTTATTCTGATCTAGCAAATTATCACTTTTGCAAAATAAATTAGGATAATTGTGCTATCGATTATTATACTTTAAAGCGCAATTATATGATTCAGTAAATTGCAAAGTTTTGCCAATGTTTCAGATTATCGCCTTTCTAAAACTCAGTATGATAATATATTCAATAATTAATTAATAATACTCATATACTTATATTAAAGTAGCATTTTTATGCAGGTAAATGAATGAGTAATCGAATAAGTTAATTAATAAGCTAATTGAAATATTTAGTTGAAAGCTATGAACTAATGAATTTAATAAATTGATGTAATATTTATGGTCATTAAATGAATTAGCTAACTTCTAAAAGCAAATTCGACTATTGCTATAGCTATTTACTTTGGTACACGTTGGACAATTTCTGATACGTCGTTCTATGCCAAAACCAAATGAAGTTGAACACGTTGACCATTCAGTCCATTGTAGATCATCTATTAAAGCACCTTAGCATTAATTAGCTATTTTGTCATCAATAAAAATGTTTAAATTAATTTGAAAGCCAATTTTAAATTAGTTCATATGCTTTGTAAAACTTATTGTCTTTTAGATTAAATAAATCTATATTTGCATTACTTTGTAAAATAAGCATACACCATAGTTCATATTTGACAAATTAATCAATGCATTTTATTTAATTAATAAATTAAGTTTAAATTTATTTAATTGGTAAATAAGCCAACTTTAAATTAGCTCGTATATTTTATATAATTATTGCCAGATAAAGAAGCTTTTTTTTCAAATGTAAAGAAAAAAAACAATTGATAAATTCATATGTACCCATGCATTTGCCATAACATAATTGGCGCTCTTGTCGTGACTTATGACATCGTTTTCCGCCAATGCATGCGCTCACTCTTAGACGAAAACCTTTTCGTCCACAAACTGAAGCTGTACAACTACACCAGTTTGACCATTCAACCCATACTTGTATTATTTATAATAAAAAAAGAAAAGAAATCATCATCAAAAAAAAAAAATCATCGGAATATAATAACTCACACAATTTTTTCATGTTTGATGAAATCCAAAAAATTACAAATGTATTTTATTTATCTATTTCACTCAACAATAATTTATTTGCATTTTTAGGACTAAATCATTAAAATTCTCCATTGAAGCTTACTTATATAATTAATTTAATCATTATTAATACATCACGCATATTAATTACATTAATTATTATTACTTTTAATGCGTTTAGTTGTGGCAAAATCATTTATTGTTGACATATTACTTCTAGAAAAAATTTATTTCCGAAATTAAATTAATTACTAAACAACTTCTCTTTTCCGATTTTGTCCATTGTTTCTTCCCTTTTTTCTTGCTCTTTTAGATCAATTAGTAAATTTTATCGTTCAAAATTTATAAAAAAAATTTTTTTTGTAAAATTTAAAATGTGCAAAAAAAAAGAAAAATTCGCCCACTTTGTTCAATTGTTGTGTTGTTTGGTAAAATTTTAACATTTTTTTGCATCAATTGTATGAAATTATTTTTCAATGTTTCATTTCGTCCCGAACAATGTGACGAAAACTCAACAATTGTTCGTCCATTACAATTCAATTTCCATCAGCTTTTGAAAATTTCGATTTTTTTAAGTTAAAATTTGAAAAATGTTTCAATTGTAATAAATTCTAGTAGTCTTTTTTTCTTTCCGTTTTGATCTTAAAGAATTATAACTTATTTTCCTGTTTTTTTTTTTTTTTTTTTTTTTTTTTTTTGTAATTAATCTGATTTTTTTAATCTGTAATTGTGAAAACTGTTTTTTAATAATTTGAAAATAATTTAAGTGGATTTTAAAAAAATGAAAATATACAACAAAAAACGAGGGAAAGACTAGCATAGGAAAATTTTTTTGGAAAAACTCAGAAATAACAGATTTAAAAAATGGATAAATTTATTAAAATGTTTTTCACTCTTTTTCTATAGAAAGCGAGAAATGAACATGCTTGGAAAAATGAAGTGTAAATTACCCTACATCGGCCTTTAATGCAATAATGTTTTGTACCACACGGTGTATCATCCGGAAAAATGGTTGTTGTTGTGAATGGTTTGGATTGGGTTGGTTTACTTGCACAATGGGTCGAGTGCTCCGTCTTGGGTAATTAAACCAAACAAGCAATCAGTAGTTTGACAATTTAGTGAGGAGGATGAGCTAAGCAACGGGGAGACTGGTAACAATGCTGGGAAGGATCCTGGTTGAGTGGTAATTGCCCTTATATAGGATGATTTGAGGGTGGAGACATAAAGCGATTGATACAATGGAAGCTAGGAGGAAGGCTATGGGAAAGATAGTTTTTGTAAACGGAATTAGATAACAAACAAAGGATTGGAACAGATGTGCATTAGATAATATGACAGATTAGCATGGGAATTTGTTAACACATTACCATCTATGAGTCATTAAGGAATTTGAATTACAATAAAACTTACAATAAATGATTAACATGATTTGCTTAAATATAAATACATTGATTTAAATTTGACCTTTTGCTAAATTCGAATTTGCTAAATTCGACAAAGATTATTTCTAGTGGAATTTCGAGCTTGTTCTCGACACTCCCGAGGGAAGAGCGAAAAGTATTCTAATGGATAGATTTGGGGTTTATAGGATAAAACATTGTGATTCTCAACACTTTCTAAACCTTGATTATGGGTAGTACAAGTTTGAATTAAATGTAAAGGGATGGTGGTAGGTATTTCTCTGTTTCTAGATTTTCTAAGACATATGAATCTTAAGATTGAGATAACCAATTGAAATTTTCATCTAAGAATAATCAGCACGATTAACAACGCGAAGACAATTATCGCAAACATAATCAATCGCCAATGCCAAGTGAGATCCGAAAGTTCCTTTTGTATGGCCTTGGTAGCTTTGCCCAGTATATCCTCCAATTGGTATTCGAACTCTTCGCCTTGTTGATTGATTTCCTGCCAAAGAGATTCGGTAGTTTGTGTTTCGGATACCAGCTGAACTAATTCCTGTTTGCGAGCCAATATTTCTAGCTCTGCGTCTATCCGTTCATTTTCAAATTTGTTGATTATTCCAGCTTCGAATTCGACGATAGTTGAATTCATTTTTTTAGATTTACAAGGAGCGACCAATAATTTACCATTGATTCTCCTTGCGATGATGTCGTTTCGTTGTAATATGAGCTTCGCAGCCAGAGTTGGATTGTCGTGTGATAGCCACTCGACTAGTAATAGCAAATTATTCCGATTTTGGCAGCTTCTTTGATTGAGGATATTGAGCTCATTATTAATCTGCAGTTGTATATCGTCGAATATATACTGATATTTCAGATTTTCTGGATCAAAGGTTTCCTTGGGGCTGATTTCCAGCATGAATAGCGGTGAATTTGTTTCCCGATTCGGAAATTCTATTGCAGTCGCATGCGTTCCTTGATCCTCGTCAATGATAATTCCACCTTTCATTTGATGGGGTTTGACCAATCGACAATTCGAGGTGATTGACTTCCGTGGTGTCCCCTTATATACAAGGGAGGTTTGTAGCTTGTGGACGACGACGTGATTTTCGTATCGTTGGGCGTCAAAGGTCCTAATTCTACGATAATTGCATTCTTTAGTTGGCTCCGTCCTATTCCAGAGCACAATACTGGTTTTCGTTATA